CATTAGATGCCTTCACAATTATTTTTTCTCTGTAGCTAGATATATCATCAGGTGAATGATAAAGCTTTCGCGGTTCAATTATGCGAGTATTTCTGGAATGTTTGCAAGAATTTTTCGATTAAGGTGTATTCATATTGAACGTACAATGAGGAAACGTGATAGTATTTCTTATAGGTAATATTTTTATATTTTAATGCCGACCATAAGTATGGTATATAAATAACTTGTCAATTTTAGGTTTTGGAATCTTATGTAGGGATTTTTTAATGAATGTTGGACTTAAATTGTGATATATATATATATATATATATATATATATATATATATTATATCAATTAGTAGATCTAATATAATATTTCTAAAAAAAAGAATCAAACCTATAAAAAGTCAGTTTTTTATAACTATAGGATGATAGTAATGAATATTCATGCTACAATACAATGGAACTTCACTGTGTTGTTTGCTTTACTTTTGAGAAATTATTCCCTGAGTGGTAGCTCCAAATGTAGTAGTACGTTTTAGCGGGATTTTGATAAACAAAGCTCCAACTTTCACCCAAGCAGACAGTGTCCTTGCTGCCACACGAAGGTCAGCGAACAAAATAAAATATTATATTCAATTATAATGTAACAATGTATTTAATTAGATTTTTTTGCAATTTTTTTAAAATTATGTGCAAAAATCACTTGTTTCTTTTTCATTATCTCACATTACGTGGCATCATTACAATATGTGACGTTCTTTCATTTCCCTCTATCATCCATGATCGCACTCTTGCATATTATAGTGCATCTACCTTCGTATGTTTTTCAAGCCTATACTTCTAAATACCGTCCGCATTCAGACTAATGTTTTAGCCTCCAATTTAAAACATTAATGCCCGATTTCACCAACATCCCAAAAAAAAAAACTGTCGGTGAAACAGAAACTGTCCCCTAATAGCCCCCTAACCATGCTTAGGGGTGGGTCCCTTAAACTTATGTGACGTTGGTGAAATCGGCCATTAATATTTTGCACAAACGACTTCCATCTTTTTCCATAACTTGCCTATAAATTAAAACACATTAATCAGTAACTCCTCAGCTTTTTGTCGCTAGTACGCTTTTTACTTACTCTAATAAATACATTAATCTAGCCCAATGTACATTCTACCTAATTATTTCACAAAAACAATTATACATATTATTGGTTGTACGTGTGTACATATGTATGATTTTTTATCTAAGCTACACGCTTTAGTCGTAAAATTGCAGGAGACATTTTCATTCATAACTAGAACATACTTGTATTGTGTATAAATTATAATTGTACAGTTTCTACATCACATACCTCGTGCAATATTAAAATATAATTAAATAATTTCTTAGAATTACGCGAATACTTGTACATTTTAAATAAAACTATCTTTTCAGATTATTTCGTCTCAAAGGCATTATATTTGTTACAGACATAACTGTCTGTAACAAATATATAATGCCTTTGAGACGTCCAAAACCTTAGTCTCTCTCGTGACCATGATTGCTGTAAACCGTTCGAAACGTCGGAATCCAAAACTCAAAATAAACTCGATAAATAATCCTAAAAGTTAGTTTTATTTAAAATATAATTTATTTCGATTATTAAACCACCTAAAATATTTTTTTTGTTATTAAATTCCATACTTATTAATTAATTTACAATATAATTAAGCGTTCATTATATTATTACATAATTTAGTACCAACCAATGTTCAGTTAGAATTAAGTCTAACTTTGTGTTTTACTGGATAGCAGCTGCGATTGTTATATTGAAAATAACAAGGCAACATGTAGCTCGCATGTTTTCACACCATAAGATTCTCTTCTAATTTACATTTTGCATTTCAGTGTTTTGAAACAAATGATATTGTGCGTGATTTTGTATAAATTATAGAAAATTTATATGGTATTTTCTTAAATAAGCGTTATAATGTTCTTAAAGATATTTCTTTCCCGTCTGTATGTAGCATGTCGGATGCTGGATTGCATCTGTTTCATCTCAATCAGGAGTAACACGTACATCGTAGTATATGTACGCGGCTCCCCCCGCTTTCAGATGACCAAAAAGCTAATTCTTAGGTTTTACATATAAGTTTACTCTTACATAGCAGTTTTTGTATTTTTTCTCAAAAATGAGATATTTTCTCGCAGTAAAAAATATCCTATATGTTGACCCGGAGAACCAGCTATCATCATACCAAATTTCATCAAAATCCCTCCAGTGGTTTTTCTGTGATGCGGTAACAGACAGACAAAAATTCTAAAAACTATAGATTCGGCCTCTGTATCGATAATTATGTTTATTTCAATAAGATTTTACAAAAAATATCTAATGTACAGATTCGGCTCGGTTACAATTTTATTATATGTATAGATTAGATTAATAATAATTGAATTTACAATATAGAAAATTACAAATATACTTAAAATATTATATATACAAAACAAATGTATATCGTATAGCCATTTGAAATGCTAACTTCGTGTGATAATATGCATGGCCTTACTAGCATGCATCACCAGGCATACACATGGGACTAGATGGCAACTCTATTAAGATTATGAATGTGCATCTTTTCACGCTGTAACAGCTCAATGGACTTGAGTGAAATTCGAAATGGATTCTAAGTTGTAAACACATAGGCTACGTTTTACAAATTACTTAGTACGCGAGCGAAACTACGGGCATAAACTGTATATAAAAAAGGAGGCAATAATTTTATAAGCAACAATAGTTTTTATTCTAAAATTGTTTTTAAATTTAAATTTAATTTTTTGTTAAAAATATTTATCAAATTAAAAAGGGGCAATGATCTTACATGGCTGATACTGAAATTGTAATCTATACAGATAAATAAACAGCTTTTTACTAAATGCATATGGGTGTATACATGGTACACATACCAAAACAATATTTTTTACAATTTTTGTCTGTCTGTCTGTCTGTCTGTTTGGTCCGGCTAATCTCTGAAATGGCTGGACTGATTTTGACGGTACTTTCACTGAGACACAGATAGCTGATGGAATAAGGAGTAACTTAGGCTACTTTAATTTTAGAAAAAAAAATAGGGTCCCAGAAAAAAATTAAAACCAATGAAAAATTTAATAATATCCGATTCAAATAGGGAAGTTGAATAATATTTAAATTATTTCAACATTAACGTCTCTTTTTAAAAACATTTTCAGCAAATAAAAAAATATTGATAAAACTATTGAAGGAAAGCCCCAATAGAATGTTATGAAAAAACTTTAACATCGAAAGTTTTATCACCATTTTAATGATCTTTGTTAATGACAAGATATTTATTAATTTTAAGAACTTTGTCGTTAATTTCCAATGTTATTCGAATATTTCTAAAGTTTTGCAATATGCAAAGTATCTAAAAATAGCAAAGTAGAACTTCGAATTAATTACTTTTTAAATAAAAACTAGCGGCTTACTCTGCTTTCACTCGGGTTCGTCTCTAGGTGCGTTTTAAATAGATATAAATAGTTACTAGCTAGCGTTAGGCGTATAACTTTTAATTATATTACGTTTTTTCATTCTTCAGATATAATTAACCAGGTAGTCCTTTTATCCAACAAGGCAACTTCGCATATTTTAGAGTATCTATTTATCAAAAATAAAAAAGAATTTTAGGGTAGTCGTACCTGCCATATTTACCTCTACCTCCGTAATGCGCTCTGTTCATGTCTCATTCTTTTTATATTATGTAACGCAGCAAAACTTTAGGGCTATGGGTGGGTGGGTATTTATATCTTCGAATGAAAAAACTAATATAATAATGATCGAACTTCACTTGGTAAGTTCGTTTGATCGTTTATTATATGACGTTTTTTCATTCTTCAGATATAATTAACCAGGTAGTCCTTTTATCCAACAAGGCAACTTCGCATATTTTAGAGTATCTATTTATCAAAAATAAAAAAAAATTTTAGGGTAGTCGTACCTGCCATATTTACCTCTACCTCCGTAATGCGCTCTGTTCATGTCTCATTCTTTTTATAGTATGTAACGCAGCAAAACTTTAGGGCTATGGGTGGGTGGGTATTTATATCTTCGAATGAAAAAACTAATATAATAATGATCGAACTTCACTTGGTAAGTTCGTTTGATCGTTTATTATATGACGTTTTTTCATTCGAAGATATAATTAACCAGGTAGTCCTTTTATCCAACAAGGCAACTTCGCATATTTTAGAGTATCTATTTATCAAAAATAAAAAAGAATTTTAGGGTAGTCGTACCTGCCATATTTACCTCTACCTCCGTAATGCGCTCTGTTCATGTCTCATTCTTTTTATAGTATGTAACGCAGCAAAACTTTAGGGCTATGGGTGGGTGGGTATTTATATCTTCGAATGAAAAAACTAATATAATAATGATCGAACTTCACTTGGTAAGTTCGTTTGATCGTTTATTATATGACGTTTTTTCATTCTTCAGATATAATTAACCAGGTAGTCCTTTTATCCAACAAGGCAACTTCGCATATTTTAGAGTATCTATTTATCAAAAATAAAAAAGAATTTTAGGGTAGTCGTACCTGCCATATTTACCTCTACCTCCGTAATGCGCTCTGTTCATGTCTCATTCTTTTTATAGTATGTAACGCAGCAAAACTTTAGGGCTATGGGTGGGTGGGTATTTATATCTTCGAATGAAAAAACTAATATAATAATGATCGAACTTCACTTGGTAAGTTCGTTTGATCGTTTATTATATGACGTTTTTTCATTCGAAGATATAATTAACCAGGTAGTCCTTTTATCCAACAAGGCAACTTCGCATATTTTAGAGTATCTATTTATCAAAAATAAAAAAGAATTTTAGGGTAGTCGTACCTGCCATATTTACGTCTACCTCCGTAATGCGCTCTGTTCATGTCTCATTCTTTTTTCTTGCGAGGCAACGTTCGCACGCGCTCAACTATTAACAGTAATAAGTGTTTAAGAAAACTAGTAAAGGAGTACATATTCATAATGCCGAAGAGAACTAAGGGGGAAAAACTTAAATATTACAAAGAGAAAATTAGAAAGCTAAACGAAATAAATAATCGAAGGAGTATACGTCGTAGAATTATACAGTCTGAGTCATCAGATGAAAATTCAGGTAAGTGACAGTAAGATTACTGTTACGCAATTTAAGTGTGACTGTGAGTCAATATATTTATACGTATACATAATATTATGTATTTTTTTTCCTGAGTTTAGCCGAGAGTTAAACAAAGGAATACGTTCTTGAATATTGGCCGAGAGTCAAATGTCAAGACGTAACAAACATGTTAAAACATGTTTTATTTGTATTGCAGATGTCGAAACGCAATCGCAATATAAACAAAACGAGGGTAGTTTACCACGCGCTGTATTAATACACGACGAGATAATGGAACGTGATGTTAGGATGGAAGCTGTAGATACTCCCCAGGTTGAAATGGGGACTCCAGAGGTTGCATCGCATCCAGAACTAACGTTTGAATACTTGCAAGCTCTCGGGGACGCCGTCGATGAGGTGCCGCAATATGGAGAGGAAATCCATAGTAACTTAGCGCAAAGGTGGCTGCCATTACTGCGTAAGGGCTTGCCAAAGGATAAACGAGATGTTATATTTAAGCCGTATATAATACCAAGTAATTGTAAATTATTAAAAGCGCCTTCGTTAAACGCTGAAATATCGGCTGCTATTACTGAATCACTTAAAACACGAGATAAAAAATTAGAAAATTGTCAACAACAATTAGGTATAGGTATCACTGCCATTAACAGGGCATTAACGTTATTACTAACCGGTGGTGATCAAATACACTCAATAAAGATATTGTCAGATGCATCTCGTATTTTATGTGATTTTCACTATCAAAATACAGAAACTAGGATTAGATTATTAACACCTAGTTTGGACAAATCTTTGTTAAACGTTATCGAAAATAATCATGATGAGACGCTTTTCGGTGCCAACCTATCAGAAAAAATTAAAGCGGCAAAAATTATAGAAAAACAAGGGCTTTCTATCAATAAAAACGTTCCTGTTACGAAACCATCTACATCCTTTTTACGACCGCGGCCGGGAAACTGAACAGGCCCTCCCCGGTTCCCGTCGAGCAGGGGGGGGGGGCGTACAGCACCGCGGGCGGCGACGATGACGTCAGCGACGCGACGGGCATTGGCGGGGAACACACCACAACCGCCGTCGCAAGCGCGCTTCAGCCATCCAAACAGGCAACGTGCCTTTCCGACGCATCGACGTTAACACAGGTACACGCAGGCCGTTTACAGTTATTTTATAATTGTTGGTTATCGATTACAGATAACTCGGTCATTTTAAAATGGATTCGCGAAGGGATTTCTATACCACTTGCCTGTCGGGTATTCCAAGGTTCACCTCCAACATATACGTTAAATAAATCAGAACAAGAAAGTATAGCGTAACATTTAAAGTTTGGTGGGAGTTTTGTATTCTAAATAAGTTTAATCCTCTGGAACCTTCAATTCATGCTGTAATATCATTTATAACACATCAATATAACCGGGGAGATTCCTATGGATCTATTAGTACTCATCGATCGGCGTTGTCCTTACTGCTAGGGCATGACGTAGGTACAGATGATCGTACCCCCCCAACGTGCGTTCACCTTGTCGTGGTGGGGGGGCTCAGTAGTAGTAGCGAAGCTAAGAAACGCACAGGGAGGTTGCCCACTTCGGTGGGCGGTGGGAGGTGGCCCTCTTCGGGGGGCGGTGTATCATGTGGGTTGCTCCTGGTACTTCTCTGATAGCAGAGTGGCCCTTGGAGCAACCCCATGGTTGTGGTGGTCTGCTTTGGCAGACCTGCCGTCGGGGCGTCGTAGTTGAATGCGTAAGCGATCCTGCGACGCCCCATTAAGACGGGGGAAGGTTTTGTTGGGTTTTAGTGGGTAGTACTGGCTGTATTACACCGGTGAGTCCCACACGTCATGCGTAAATGCATTTCCCAACGTTAAAAAAAAAAAAAAAAGGAACAGATGATCGTATTTCAAGAATATTAAAAGGTGTGTACAAGTTAAGGCCCAGTGTACCTAAATATAAAAACACTTGGGATCCACAAGTCGTTTTAAGTAAATTAGAGACGTGGTATCCTAATTCTGAACTTAGTTTAGAAAAACTTACGAAAAAACTTGTAATGCTCCTAGCTTTGTGTACTGCACATAGGTTGCAAACATTTTCTTTGATAAAAATTAATAATATTAAATGTTTTGCGAGTGTAATTAAAATTTATATAATTGATATTATTAAAACATCGAGACCTGGTAAAGATCAGCCAATTTTAAGCTTGCCTTTCTTTTTAGAAAATCCAAGTATATGCCCAGCTAAAACATTACAGGAGTATATTGCTAAAACAATAAATATAAGACCTAGTAATGTAGAAAATTTATTGATTACTTTCAAACGACCTCATAAAGCTGCCACTGCCCAAACTATAGGTCGCTGGCTAAAACAGACAATGGGGGAATGCGGGGTGGATGTGGCGGTGTTCAGCGCGCACAGCATGCGACACGCCGCCACCTCCGCCGCACACTCCTCCGGCGTCTCTATTGACGTGATACGTAAGACAGCCGGTTGGACTGCTACATCTCAAACATTTGCTAGATTCTATCAACGACCTGTAGAGGAACGGGACAGCTTTGCGAGGTCTGTCTTTTTTTTCTTAGACTTATTTCATGTATGATATTCATTATAATCACTTGAATAAAACATTTCTAATTTCATTATAAGTTTTATTTTTATAATAGCAAAACTTATTAGTATTATCTATAAACATCTACCTGGTTAATTATATCTGAAGAATGAAAAAACGTCATATAATAAACGATCAAACGAACTTACCAAGTGAAGTTCGATCATTATTATATTAGTTTTTTCATTCGAAGATATAAATACCCACCCACCCATAGCCCTAAAGTTTTGCTGCGTTACATACTATAAAAAGAATGAGACATGAACAGAGCGCATTACGGAGGTAGAGGTAAATATGGCAGGTACGACTACCCTAAAATTCTTTTTTATTTTTGATAAATAGATACTCTAAAATATGCGAAGTTGCCTTGTTGGATAAAAGGACTACATGGTTAATTATATCTTCGAATGAAAAAACTAATATAATAATGATCGAACTTCACTTGGTAAGTTCGTTTGATCGTTTATTATTTTTCCACGAATGTTTTGATGTTTTAATAGTTATTCTGCTATTCGGGGCGGAGATAAATCCAAAAATATATACACCAATTTCAAAATCTATGCGAGTAACTTTTTCACTTAAAATAGATGCGTGTTGCAATAAAAAATGAAGACAAGCCTATCCTTCTAAACATTAGTAGTGTATATTGAACGTGACATTTACTAATCGTCCGCCTTCTGGAGAAAATTGCTTAGATCTTTTCGTGACGAGAGCAGGTTTTGTTTACAAAGGAAAAGGACCTCCAAAATTGTATATTCGTACAGCTTTATTTTCAAATGGATGACACTTAATAAGATTTTTTAATAGAAAAATGGAGCTTAGAGGATGGTTTACGTGAGAAGAAAAGTAGACCAGATTTATTTTTTAAATAGCATAGAAAATTTTTTTACGTTTTTTTATTTTATTTAAACGTAAACACCAGTGAAATCATTGTAATATATTCGCACTTTGTTATTTACAAGTGAATTTTTAAAATATTGGCTTTAGGTAGAAATGTATGATGATGAACTTTTATGGATTACCAAGAGAGCTTTAAAAGAGTCAAGAGGTCGGTTTCAATAAAAAGTTATATGTAACCCTAATATTTTAAAAAATATTAGCCTTCCTGAAAATCGTGCCCTTTGTTTTTGAAAAAATAAATATGTAGCTCTATTACTGCACTGTCGATTAGTTTTGCTCCTTTTAAGTGACTTAAATTGTACTAAGGTACATTATGGTACATATTAAAAGAAACAATCCAATATATAAAATAGATATAATTAGAAAATGTTGACATATATCAGATCTTTAATTAAGCATGTCCATATCATTATATAATTTATCTAAATTGAGTTGTTTTCTAGGTGTAATTGCAATTTATCTCCAAATGTTATTACGTATCAAGTATAAACTTCATACAGCATGTTCCGGTGGAAAGGTAAACTTTGTGTGTAAGTTTTATACTTACAGTCGCCTCACGTTCTCAAAGCTCCAGGCGCTTTTAGTTGTTAGTATTTACTCACAGTAAAGGCTAATTACGTTTGTTATAGATTTTGATTATATATGTTAAAATATAAAAGTATATGTCATTTCCCAAAATATGATTTGAGGAATATCCATAGACTAGTTTTTGAGATTTGAGATATTTTCAGTTAAAAAAAACTTAAATGTATATGAAATTGTGATAATTGTTGAATATTTTTGCTGCTTTCTTATCTTTTACTTTTTTATATAAAGATTTTTTATGAGTTAACATCTGTAGAAATGTACAGCTTGAGGGTAAATTTGTATTAGGTACTAAATGAGCCTACTAGAGTGATGTGTCAGGCCTCTACGGGAAAGCAATTTGTCGTAGTCACGATTTGTGACCGCTCCTATACCTCGTAATCGATGGCTTTTGCCTCTTTTATTATTAGACTTAAATAAATTAAATATTTATATACTATTATTTTGGAAAGGAATATTGAATTTTTACTTGTTGTATTGACTGTATCGTTGAACTCTAAGTGGATTTTTGTAGAACTATGTACTTAATAGTATGTACGTTCATATTCGCCTGTACAAGAAATAAACATTGTTATATTACTGATGTGAGAGAATTGTTCCCTAATATAAAAACCATTTCTATAACATAAAATGAAATGAAATTATAATAAATGTAAAGTATATGTAAAGATTACAACAAACATATTTCCATATAATTTTCGTTAGGTTTCTGTTAGAGTAGTTTGATTTTTCGTTTATATAAGAAGTGGGCTGAATGAGTAGACTGAAGTGATGTATCACCTTCGCCCTTGCCGGAGGAGCAATTTGTCGTTATTTCGATTTGTTACCTTATTTTATAATTGATAACGTATTATATTTAGTAGTAATGTTATGTTAACCCGGAAAACCAGCTATCATCATACCAAATTTGATCGAAATCTGTCCAGTGGTTTTCTCGTGCGTTCCCAGACAGACAGACAGATAGATTGACGAAAATTCTAAAAACTATATATTCGGCCTCTATATCGATAATAATGTCTATTTCAATAAGATTTTCCAAAAAATATTTAATGTGTCGATTCGACTCAGAATTTTATTATATATATAGAAGATACTGTATTAAAATAGAGTTATCATAGTAAAATTTTGTCAGTGTCCATAGTATTCCGTTAAGTGCCAACCTATCACAATAAATGTGGAGCTGGCTAAAAGCCAAAGATTGTAGCTTAATATCGTGCCTATTTTTAGGCCTTGACCATGAAATACATATCGGAATGGCCTATTGAGTGAAAGTTGCAAGAAATATATCTAGTCTAAATCATATGCATTTATGATGTATGTAAGAAAAAAAAATCATATAATGAAAAATATATCGCTGTATGGATTAAGAAAAACTGTGTGATGTCCTGGTAAATTTTTCATCTCCAAAAAATATTATTTCTTACATAATTTTATATATTTTGCTTTAGAAGTTCCAAAACCTCGATACATTTCCACTAGTGTCAAAATCAATGAAGGTAATCTTGGAATATATTCATTTTCAGTATACTTTTCACGATCCTCGCCATTTTTTTATCCTCTTGGGGCTGAATTACAAAAGATCCTTTTTAATGGCTACCTTTGTTGTAGAATTTTGCTTGATTTTGTTTGATACGCACTTTTTGTATATTTTATGTTTTTTATCAAAATTTTAACACCTCAATCCAGTCGTATCAGGGATAATGTATTGATATGATAATTAATAATCTAACAGAAACACTTTTATTTGTTAGCATTACTCTACTGAATAAGCTTTTTATTATTATACTAACAACTCACCCTCTTTTCGCTCTGTTTTGTTCCTAGGTACGTTACGACGGTTAGTATGGAATAGATTAAACTTAAACTTCATCTCATCTCCTTCACTTCAATGTTTAGAAGAAAATGGCAAAATCATATTTTGATAGTCAATTTTATAGTCCTTAGAGTAACCTTGTAAGAGGCTGTTGAGTGTTTGGCGTAATTTATTTTTATAACGTCCCAATACTATTGCTACATTCTATTCTGTAAAACATTTAATCTCACCATCTGAATCCGCGAGCATATTTCTTATACGAGTAGAATACTTAAAGTACCTATATAAATAAAGTTTCCCCTAAATAAAAGTTCTTACAACCAAACAACTGCAAAAAATAAGCATCAAAATAACTATGTTCTAGGGTTGAGTACAAATAACTTTGGAATGTACCTCTAAGCAAATCTTGCAGTATATTACAGCTGAAGGGTTTATTGCTTTACTCTAGTTCAACGTGCGGCTGTCTCAGTAGACCAGACATGATTGCAATGATGTCCTGTAGCCACAATATGGAAATATACACAATTAAGGTATTACTCAATCAAAACGAAATTAAGTTGTATATTTTATAAACGAATAGATAAACTTTTAACTTTTTTTTTACTTCAACCAAAGTATCCTCCATCACAATAAAAATGTATACTAATATTATAAAGAGGTAAAGTTTGTAAGTTTATGAGATTGTGAGTTTGTGAGGTTGTAGGGGGTAATCTCTGGATCTACTGAACCGATTTAGATGAAATTTGGTAAGAAGGTAGTTTGAGACCCCGGGAAGGACACAAAAATTTTCATCCCGAAAATAATCCCTTAAGCGGGTGAAAATGAGGATGAAAGATTGTATTGCGAAGCAAGCTAGGGACGAACCCGAGCGAAGCGAGACTGAGTCCCTAGTATTATACATAGGTATATAATCAACCGACTTCAAAAAGGAGGAGGTTCCCAATTCGACTGTATTTTTTTTTACAGTAATATAATCGAGTTGTATTATTGTGTAAACAATAATACAACTAGATTCTATTACTGTTATTTTTTATTATGTTCACATGAACGTGACTAATGAATATGAAAAAATACTGTGATGATATTTAAAATTAGCACGAAACTTAATCTTTCATATTTCTACAATTTCATCTCATCAACCGTTCGTATTTTGCGAGAGCTCATTATGTACTCGCAGTTTCCTCCTTGTGTGGTATTTATCCACTCTACCCTGAATATTACGACTTGCTGTTCTATTTCGAAAATTAAAAGATATGAAAGATTTTGAATTTCTTATAATTTCGTGTATAATGAAGTTCTTTTATCTTTTAATTAAGGCAGAGGTGTACTTTTTTGTATACATACATAGATTTAAGGCGTATCTTAAATAACATAAAGTACTGAGTACGTAATGAAGTAATAAAATGTAGAAAAATATCTTATACTTAGTATATTTTTATAACTTCTGTTTGCGGTTTTAGGGTATAGGGTAGTTATAGGGCAGTATATTTATTTTAGTTTTGGGCTTTGGAGCAATTTAATTGACTGAAATAGCACTAAGCTTTATTATATTTTAGCTCCAACTGTAGTTCAAAAGCGTCAATTTACTACGAGTATTTAAGTTATTGTTAATATTGGTAAAACGTTTATGGGACTAAGTGGTTAATAGACAAGCAACTAAGACTAGACTAAGTGTCTAAGTTGAGCTGAAATAATAAAAGAAAATATTGAAAAAACTTTGCCTCAAGTGTGTGAGCATAACGCTTTATTTTTCTTAACTTTTCTGGACATAAAAAGATTCTAATACAACATTTTTTACGTAGTAATATAAATATTCACCATATTAAGAAGAATTTAAAAAAAAACAGATACCCAACTCTAGCTAGTAATGATTGGCTCTTTAAATTTTAATGAGACCATCTTAAATATTATATATTGTTTAATAAATATCGTAAATTCTATTCATATTTAATTAACATCGTCTATATTATACATATAAAATACTAAGGTGAATAACCTCTTTGTGAAAGTCAGCTAAAATAATGACGATACATTAATTATAGGTAATTATATAGAGTTTACAATATTTAATCTTATATCCATATTTAACACAAAATATTTTAAAAATTTATGAATTCAGTGGAATGCTTAAAATAGTATACTATGTATTCAGCCTTTTGTAACGTCCCACTGCTGGGCACGGGTCTCCCTTAAATGCGAGGGGTTCAGGCTATAGTCCATCACGCAGCCAAGTACGGGTTGGCGGACTGAGCATGTCTTTCGAAAACTTATTCTCTAAGACATGCAGAATGCAGATTCCTCACGATGTTTTCCTTCACCGTAAGGCAAGTGGTAATCATGTTAAATTCATAAAAATATCAGAGGTGCGAGACCCGGGATTTGAACACGCTTCAATCGGTTTCCCAAGCGACCACGTTACCACTGGGCTGCCTTTTATGCTTGATTACGAAAATCAATATACAAAGTTTGAGCGTGGAAAATGTTAATCGTCCATTAAAACCTTTAAATTTTACGAGTGTTATCAAACAGAATTATTTTAATTCTACAATTATCCTTATCTGAATTCGAAAGAATTTGTTACTATCTAAATTGTAATTTGAATTTAAGTTATTTTAAAATATATAGCATAAGTATATTTTAAAATGTATTTTAAATCCTGTGTGTATATGAAGTTGCTTTCGAAAGCAAATTATCTGTAAATTCTTTAGCTATAAAGAGTGAGAAATTGGTTTAAAGGGATCTTTCATTTTTTATGTAGCTA